TCTCTCTCTCTCTCTCTCTCTCTCTCTCTTTCTATTGTCGACTTTCTTTTCTTTTTTCTCGCGCGCTCAGAGAAGCATATGAAACGACTGAGACGCTTCGTTTCGTTCGACCATCAGAATCAATATTGACATGGAGACGAGAAGAAGTAGTCAGTTTTTGGTGTCAATATTTGATCTTCCTACATCCAAAGGAACACGTGTGCGACAAATTTAAATATGCATGTCCATTTTACCAAGGTATTACGCCGGGATATTATATCGTAAAATGCAAAAGCGTGATTAAGAACGCTTGCAATACTGTTTTCATAAAATATTCAGATAACTTACATAGACTTTTTCAACACAATAACGTCTTTATTTATCTTAAGATAATAGTAGCTAATGCAGTATATTCGTGTACGTAGTAATATATATGTAGTTAAACATGTGATAAAGCTTCATAGTCTAAAATCTATAATAATTCTTACAAATTTTCTTGAAATTTTATACGATATATTGATAATTAACTGTACTCTCTAAAAGTGGACCAGTGGACTTATCACTGATTTTTAATGTACATCATTTTCCAGTGGCATACTTAGAACTGTGATAAATAGTGACTATTTCAGTCGTTTCAGTGATAATATATTGTACTGACTGAACCAGTAAATATCACTGAAAGACAGTGAGTTTCACTGTCAAACAGTTTTGAGAACTAAAAATTCACTGTCTTTCAGTAATATTCACTTTTTGAATCTATCTTTTGAATCTTTTAAATATATCGTAAAATTTCAAGAAAATTTGTAAGAATTTTTATAGACTTCAGAATATGAAGTTTTATCACATGTTTAACTATACATATGCTACTATACATTAGTATACTACATTAGCTACTATTATTTCAAGATAAATGAAGACGTTATTGTATTGAAAAAGTTATCTTAATATTTTATGAAAACAGTATCATTGAAACAACCATTCAAATAGTCACTGTTTATTACAGTGCTATATCATTGGAAAATGATATACACTGAAAATCGATAATAATTCCATTGATTCACTTTTAGAGAGTATAATTCTTAAAATATACATATCATACAGTAATCATAACTGCGCCACAACTGCGTCGTGAAAGATACGTTATCATCTTTAATCGAGTCTAACTTTTTCAGAAATTTCTTTAAAGTTAAAGTAAACTCTTCGGTGGAGAATTTATAAATCAAAGTTACCTCTGGCACGAATCTAAGTGACGCGCATCCTCAATAAACGTATCTCTAATAAGACATATCTTCCGCGAAATAACGTATAGCACATACTTACGTAGAGAGTGTATACGATACATTTCAAAGCTAATATATATCTGCCGGTAATATCTTCCTGCGGCTTACCGTAGGATCCAGCAGTCGTCTATCGCATGTTATATGTTCTCATATTTCGAGCTACATAAATATCCAGCTCTGTGAAGATTAGATGCCGTGAGCAAGCGGCGCGCGGGGCGCGGAGGAGAGAGCAAGCGCGGGCGGAGTATAATTTAACGGTAATGTTAATTTATTCCGTCGCGCTTATTGACATCCCGGGGGAATCTCTGGTCTGGCGACTCACCTGCTACTGTTAACGGAGGTGTTGCTTCTGCTGCGCCTGGAAATGATGGAATCACCTCGATTCACGACACCCTTGTGAGTGATGCTGAACGCTCTGAGTCTATACAAGTCGTCGCTTGCCCGAGGATTGTATGCCTTCTCCGGCAGACTATGTACACGAGGTCGTATATGGTCCGGCACTGTAACACAATGAGAAAGGAAATTACGTTAATTTAGGGAATCTTCAATAATGTTATTTACAATACAAAACTACGTATATAAAAGAAAGATTAAGTGTCGAAATTAGCTTATTGTTAGTAGGGTATAAAGTAGCGTAATTTGATTAACATTTTTTGAGCGCTGCAGTTCGAACTAGAGAGTTTATATCATTAAATTGTCATTGTATTAGCTCACTTTTGATGAGACATAGACATGTTAATTTTTGTTAATTTTTGTTAATTTTTTTTCGTTAAGTTGATCAAATTACGCTATACTCCCCTACATTAATAACGTTCGGAATATTTAATCGCAATGAAATAAATTCAAATTATTTCAAGATCAAAACGTGATATGTCAATTTCTTCATAAAAAGAAAAAAAAATAATGATACACGTTTACACTAACATTTGTAGATATTTGTAATAATACAATTATAAATCTCTTTTTTTTTTGTACCACGTACAAATGCGCATGTGAAGAATATTTGCAAATAATTTTCGTAATATATGCCAATAATGATAGCTTTATCGATGTTTAAGAGTGATTATTACGAATGATCGAAAGCGTGTAGCCGGGTTTGGTCCTCCATGACAAACGGCTTCTGGTAGAATTACAATCAGCGCTGATTGACCTATAAATTGATACACGTTGACAGCTAATCTGCGTTGCGTGTAGCGCGGCGTAGATGTAACCGTTGTAAAATCCGGCACTTAACACAAAACGTATCCTTCCCGTTCTATTCCCGCCGAGATTGCCAATGCGAAAAGCAATGTAATCACTTAGCTAAGGCGAGCACTCTGCCGTCCACATGACAGCGCCGACTTTTGTACGACGTTATTACGCCGCTAACACGGCTAGATAAACGACAACCGATGGTAGCTAAACCAATATCGTCCGGTTAAATATTCAATTCCATTACCGCGCGACATCGATTCAACGTCGAACTATATATATTGCACGACAATAATTTTAGTATGCAACCCGATGCACTATCGTTGTCGCACAATTACCGGCCAAACGCGGAAAGCTAAATTTTCATCGAAAAGATTATTATAATTATTAGCAAATCGTTTTTTTTTTCATTCGTTTGTAAGCTCGCGTAATGTACGTTTTTAAGTGAAAATACGTGACACAGAGGCAACAGAGTATTAATATGCAAACGTACAAACGGCAGTAGAGTAATACGAGAAACGGGGAAAGAGCCAGAAGAGACGGAAGGGACAGACATACAAATGAGATGCCGTTCCCAAGTCCGTTTCCTTCCAAGGTTTGTTATTTCGCCTGAATAACGAAGACGAAGGGGGTCAGAGCTGGAGTTGGCGACCACTCGCCATAATTTGTCATCCAAAAGTGTCGACGGGCTCGGATGATTAAACGGCCGGAGAAAATTGCCGCCGCGGCTTTTTCAACGCGCGGGAAAAATTATCGCGACAACATTCAACGATCATAAATTGCCGTGCAAATATCGTTGTAACAAATGTAACGTACATTATGCATAATTAGTTATCTGCTATAATAAGATCCCGCGTCAACGGGTATCCGCTATAGGAAAACAATTTTGCGAGCACACATATACCGATCAATACCTTTTCCAGACAAACAAAATGCATAATTAACCGAACATGTAATATCGAGTTTTTGGATGTGACACGTACGACAGTTTTCGGGACAAATCGTTAACAAATTTACATTATAAATTTCATGACGTCACTAACAATATGTATACGCATGAATACAAACGAATTACGATACAAACGTCATAAACGTACATTCGCTATTCATAGCCAAATATAAATCTGTGCTTCTGATAAAAATTTTGTTTTCTACTTATTATTTAAAAAAATAATAATAAATCCGAAATTATATACTTTTCATAATTTTTCAACATACCGTTTTAAATATCTCTGTGAAAATCCTTCTGAAATTAAAATTCTGTTAAAGGAAAACTGAAGTTACTCGGTATTACGGAGGCTAAGAATTTTAAGCTCTCACGTCGCTAAAAAAAAAGAAAGTTTAATTCACAAAAATCTCTCAATTTTTATTAAAGATATTTCGCAAGTTACATTGCATCTGAGAAGTACATATTATTGTACTTTTTTCTCCTCTTCAAAGCAATCACGGCTTCAGCGCAATTTGATTCAAGTTTAAAGAGTTCTTTAAATTAACACAACCGAATGAAACTAATCGAGAAGCATTTCTCAGGGTGCTCGGGATCTCCTTTTGTCAGGACCAACCGCTGGGTCGAGTAAATGTACTCACGAGGAAGAATCGATCGGCGGCGGCCGGCCCAGCTTCGCAGGTATAATTAAACCGCCGCGCGCTTATGACCGAAAACGAGCTCGGTAGACTCGTTTCCGACTCGCGCGGGCTTTCCGAATGAATGGCATTACGTGCCGTTGAGCACCGACCTGGTGCAAGCGACGTCGGCCATTAACGATTTTTAACAGCATGATTTACAGAATCGTTTGTTATCCTTATACGGACCATACGCGAGTTATCCGTTGCGATACTCCCGGCCTTATGCATTCTCATTTGTGCTTTTTTTTACGCGATATAAAAAGTGACAAGGACAGAGCGATTAATATTAGAGCAACCAAGTTACTTTCAGCTCAAGGAAAGCTGCGGAGGAAATTAGCTGCTTTTAGATCTGTTTCTTCTTTTAACAACAAAGGCTTTGCGTTTTCGATTTACTTCATGCTATCACGTCAAGATACTCCAGATACATGCCTCTCAATGTTTTCGTTATGAAAATAATAAATGTATTGACTCGGTACTGTCAGTAGTTGTTTCGCATAGAATTTCTTATAATACTTATGACTGTATCTATTTAGCACTGAGTCGACATTACACGATATAATGATTAAACTGGAAACTATATATTATTATTATTTTTCTTTAAAGTTATTTTCGTTATTTTCTTTAAATTTTTAAATGTTATTGTAATTTAAAATTGAAACTTATGACATGTTTAATCTCCAAATTATTTTTGGATTAATTTAAATTCATCGCTCCAACTGGATAAAATCAGTCTAAGCAGGAATTTTGGTTAGTTTACCGTTCAAACTTCTAATAATATCGCACGCGTGAAACTGAAACTATAATGCCTGGAATGTTTCTCGGTACCTGTCTATAATGTTTCAAAGATTAAGAGGCTATTAAAGCTCTAATCAAGGCTTTTAATCAAACTATTCCAATTAAACTATATCACGATGAACAATCAATTGAATAAAACTCAAAAACCTATTAAAAAGACTTATAACTCACATTATTTATTAAATCATACTATAAAGCAAACAAAAAATTGTGTCATTCACATATTTTGCAATTTGTGAATAATATATGTTGCTTATGATTTTTTATGCAACGAAAAATTATTTAATTCGATAAATTGAAATAATTTCACTGTTAAATAAATTCACTTATTATTATTTAAATTCAAATAATTTGCAGGAATCTTTTATAAACAAATAATCTTCCGTTTTCCTTAAACAGTTTCTCTTTAAAATAATTTTTAAATAAAATTAATTGTTTATACGATTCATTATATTTATCTTCAAGCATACATGTTGCTTGCTGAAATATACTTTTGTTTCGGGAAGTTTCATCGTAACATCGATCTCGTGCTTACAATTGCATTGTGATATCATTTCCATATTTATCTTTACAGATTCTGCTAGACAATTTTATATCTGAAAATCGCATGCCGCATTTGTACGTATCGAAGCACTTCAACCTTTAATTTAATTATAATCAACGAAACACTCAAGAAGTTCCGAGCCTCGCTAGCGGATCTAATTACATCAATGGCATCACTGTGAAAGTTAGCTTGTTTGAAGGTAGGCACTATAGACTTTTTGCGGAATAAACAGATATACATTGTCCATAATAAGAAGGTTTACGCATGCTCAAATGTAAATCATAACATGATCAAAATTGAGATTAAACATTACGCTTTGTACTCTTTGTACGCTTTGTAATCTTCTTTGTTATCAATTCTTTGTTATCAAGATTAGCATAATGCGTCGCATTATGTTAATATTTAAGATAAAGATTATTGAGAAATGTTAAATATGTAAACATAGAATAAAACAATGTTTTTATATTACATACTGAATTTCTGCAACAATCCTGATAAATCCTCAAAAGTTTCGGATCAATCAGTGATATAAAAATTAATAATTTACCAATTTAGTTACATGTTTACGGTCACGACTTCGCATTCTATATATGTATACTATTTCGGCTCCGCCGAAACTTCGTTTCGTTAAAATCCAATTTCGAAGAAAAAGAGGGTTCACGGTAAATGTTGAATAATAGAACGGGTTTCGAAGAAGACAAAGAATTAAGCAACGAAGGGTAGAAAATAATCCTCTCGAAGTCCCCGCGAAGGTAGGGAACAAATCTTCTTTAGAAAGTTTATTTAATTATATTCTCGTTATTTTTTTGAAAGATGGAAAAATGCTTCCTCTTGAAATGTTTGACCCTTGGTTTTTTCTTAAATTCACGTGCGGAATTTTAAATTCTTGAATTTTACATCATCTGAGTTTACTCGAATCGGAATAATATTATAGAAAATCCTAATATTTCAGAAGACATTACAGGATCTCTCATAATCTCAAACGATTGCCGATTCCTTGAATTCTTATATCCTTTAAATTATGAACCTCCTACGCTAAACAAATCTGCTTTAAGATTCGCAATTTTGAAAGTTTTTAAATTACATTACTTTTTAAGTTTTAACATATAAATCCTGTCTTATTAGATATAAGAATTATACAATAAATAAGTAAAAACATTCTCCTAATAAATATTTAACAAAGTAATTAGTAAAAAAATGTACGTTTACTAATTTGAGATCGTTAATGTCACTAATTTGTTTCCTTCCGCGTTGTAACTTACGACAATAAGTAGGAACGGTACATTACAGTACGGCAGAAAGCGTCACGTTGGCACAAAATATTTGCAAAACAAAGACGGGAAAGTAATTAATTTCGAGTTAGAGTGTAGTTGTTTTGAATATCTAGATAATCTGACAGTTTGATGCACTTTCCAAATTATATCAGGGTGGATGGCATACCTAGTTAAAAAGGATCATTAGCGACGGCCTGATAAACTAGCGTGTAACCGGGGATAAAACTCAATAAATCAAATTAAATTACTTTCATCAATTTAAAAAGCTTCGCTCGAGTTTTTAAAGTTGATAACCGCGCTAATGATTTATATTAGGTGAGAAAGTACGCGAACATTAAAAGGCGCACCGGCGCGGCGGCCACCGAGGCGAGATAAAAATCCATCGTTATTTAGCGGCGAATTAAAACGGTTAATCACGTGCAGCCCCGAAGAAAGTCGTATTAGCGCGATTTAGACGTTTATTCGTGAAATGTCACAATTCGCGGAGTTTCCCCAGCGCGGCGAGGGATTTAACCAAGCGAAATTAATTTCGCACTTCGCTCACGTATATTAAACTCAATATTACTGCCTTAAACTTCGAGTGCGGTGAGCGATTAATTAAAGCATCGCGGACGGGGGCGAGTGCAACTGGGGGTACCGACAACTTTTGCCGTGGAAAATGAAGAACTTTAGACTTTCAGATTACATGCCCCAGCCGTTTCTGGAGAGTGCAAACGCACGACGCGCGCTTTTCCATCGCACCTCGTTCCCGTCCTCCCCCACCGCCCCTCGTCGCGGGAAAAAAGCCCGACATTCGCATAAATGAATCTCGCCAAGGACAGCTGCTCGGAAGTAGGCCACCTTTGGAGACTAATTCCCCACGACAGTTACAAGACAATCCCTTTATATATTATATCAACTCATTACGCCGGCTGTCTGCCGCAGAGGTATGCGGTAGGCACAACGGTTTGCACGTCTCATGTGTACACGTTTATTAATACGTAATTGCTTCACTTAGTCGCTGTTAGACGGGAAACATAACGTGCACTATATGTTTACATTTATGGTAGTTTAGCATGAAGCTTGAGTCTTTTAGTTTCTTTGCGCGCGAAGGATTAAGCGACGATTAAGACTACTTTACATTTGCGTGATATGAACAGCGCGGGAACAATAATAAAGAGACAGATCGCGCAAACGAGAATAAATATGGTATTAATTCACGTCGCACTGCTACGCTGCGCTGCGACCGGGATGATACAGAAAAATAGGGGTAGTGTGTCAAGGGTGGTAGGGCACTTTCTCTCTTTTTCTGCGCCTCCCTTTCCTTAAATCTGTATAATGTGAGTTCAAAACAAGTGAAAATAAAATTCCAGACGCGCGGATGAATTTCGTATTATTGTGAATAAAAATGAAAATAAAAGTCAGTAAAAGTTCACAAATTTAACGCTGAATGAAATTAATTTCCGAGCAAAATTGAATATAAATCTGCGCAATGTTTTTTGCCAAATACATATGATGATATTAACTAGTTCGTTCAATCTGGAATATTGACAGTAAATTTATTAGCAGTCATTGAAAAATAAGCAATGGATTCCAATCAATACGTCAGGCTGTTCACTCGCGAATAGATTAAAGTATTATTATTTCTAGCAATTTAAGTGTTCAACGCAACTTTACCGAAAGGTAAACAATTTTAATATTATCTCGCAACAACTATCACGGTCAAATAAATTAAATCCAATATTAAAATTTAATATTGAAATAAACTTAATAAACCATCTTTATAACAAAAAAAATTGAATAATAACGACTACAAAGAAAACAAAAAAAAATAAAAATTTATCCAAGCGCTAAAAATGTTGTAACTTAAATTAACATTATATATATGTGAGTATTATTATAATTTCATTAGTTACATTTATAGTTACATCCTGCAAATGTTTCAAGCTGTTTATACGTCTCGCAATTATCCGTAAACGTACCAACAGAAATGTCGCTGATCGACGTGCTGAACAAATATCCAGCCATGATTGATACTGCAGATTACTCCATACGTATTTGGATTTCAAACATGAAAGCTATTGTCGGTCTCATATCGAACAAAATCAATTCAACCATTTCAGATACGGAGGCTGATCTAGTCAGAGATCGCACAGGTTTCCACAGATTCTAAATCTGCTGTACACGCGTGTATATATATATAGAAACTAAAATATCATGATTAATTATCCGTGCATGAGTTTGCCCTTTGTATTTCGAAAATAATATTAAACATCAGACTTGAGTGGATTTACGTTGGACAACGAACGTCCATCGCCGAGTTCACACTCGATGCCCTTAGTGTAGCTCGGGGTTCTGCAATTTTTCCACACGGACTTATTATTGCTCGACATGACAAAACAAACTTCGTCCTGTATTCCATCGGTATAACAACCGGGCAGAACACATTTATCTCACTGTCGCCGACCTTGCCCCGACGAACGTCTATGCATTTGAAGTTTTAACCAGGCCAAACGCAAACTATCGACGTCAGCGCACTTTCGATAAGGCTCCACACGTATACACGGAAAAAGTGTGCCAGAGAGATGCAGTAACCTCCCAAAAAACTACCGTGGAAAATCGCGCGAGTATCTTCCGTATAGCGAAGCGAAATGAAGTAAATCAAGATATAAAGAAATATTATATGGACATTTTCTCGAAATAATAAATAGAAAGATGTATATACAATAAAGATATTGCATTGGAAATATGAACCTCCGAAGATTCTTTTGTTTACTAGCTAATACAAATCTTAAATTTTAAAGAAAAACCATGATATTATTAAAGACGCTGAAGAAGATATTATACAAGACAGGAAGAAAGTAACTATAATTAGTTAAAACACCAGCAAAGTTCTTTCTGTAAATCTTTATCTTTTATCTTGTCTTATGCATAATATTTTCTCGGAAAACTAATTAGCAGACAACAAAATCTCTCACGGCTTTCTATATTATATCTAACAGTAAATTTTTTAATATAAATTGAGCCTCCTCTCTTTACCTCTCTCTCTCTATCTCTTTTTCTGTTACAAATTGCAGCATCAAAGCAAATTCACGTTGTTGAATATTAAATGTTTTAATTATATTCAATTAGTATCATAATTGAATAAATTAAAAACAGATTTCAACGTTGGAATTATAACGAATAAGAAAGGTCAAGTCATGTATCTAGAGAAGAGGTATATAATGTACACAGTGTTATAACTGTACAACGCAACTTCTATACATTTCGATTTACCGAGCCATAATTATTAATTTTCTATACTTGAGAACATCGCTACCGTTTAAATCTTTCTCTTTCAGCTACACAATTTACATCTTATCACAATCGTCGCTTCAATATTTGAATTTTCGAAACTCGATAAATTGTTTCTCAAGTCTGTAGAGAATCGTGTAACTGCATAAATATTATAAATGTACTCACCTGGCAGCTCGAGAAAATTCGACGTTCTCCGTTGCCGGCCCCTCGGGTGGTTGCTGAAATTCAATGGCCCCACATCTTCATTGGTAACGTTGGACGCGTTGGAGCACTGACTATCGCGGGAGCCGCGTCTCGACGCCAAATAGGCTGCAACACATTCATGTACGAGAGCTTCGTTGAAAAGTCAATCCAAGCGAAAACGCAACGCGCGGTACACGATGTTCGAGGCGGAATCGTTAAAGGTAAACCGCACCGCGACGCGCTATACCGTCCCTATATACGTATTTGCAACACGCGTATACAAATACGTATATCGGATGAGCGTGGCGTTCAAAGAAAGATACATTGTCGGTGTTGTACCTATTAAACTTTCACGACTCGTGACTTGCGAATGCTCGCAAAAAGCAATTCTCGATGAGATGTACGAGGGTAGCATCTCTTTCCGAATTGATCGTAAGAATCAGGTGGATTTCTGAACCGACGTTGTCGCGTGAATATCTATATATATGTATATTTCTTTTTCCATTTCAGTTGCCGCGAAGGAATGGTTATATAAATATACATTGATGCAGAACAAGTCAACTTTTTCACCCCGTTTTTTTTTTGTAGCCAACTGATTCGTACGAGATATGCTGAAAATTTTGATTTTTACAGAGATTGTGATAAAGTTAACCGGTGTTATTTTATCTTTTCGATTAAGGTTATTTTAAAAATGTTAAATAGCCATCAAGTGACACATATTAAAGGTCTTTCTAATTATCTTTACAATTGGATTATATACAAATTGTCTTGTTATATTCAAATATATGTATTCACTGAAATAAAAGAAAAATATGTACATTTATTCGCATGTTAATAACGATACGATATTTTCATTACTGTTATCGCAATATATTGATATTGGCAGATGTACCCGTATTGTTCAAAATTCTACGAACGAGAAATTCTGAAACGAGACGAGTTTCAGATTGTATACAAAATATTTCATTCGTAACGTCAGCCGGATCTATCCAATCCAGATCTAATTTTCTTTGCGGTAAACCGTGCTGAACGAAGGGCTATATAGAAACGTAAATCAATCGATATTTAAATAATATTTATAGTTTATGACGCGGAAAATTGCAAACCGGTATGTGTGCTGTCGCATTTACAGTTTTACATGATCGAGTCCTACACGATCCCACCTTTCTAATGAAAGTCGAATGGTCAATGATTGAAGAGGATCGGAGGATTAAGTCTCGAGAGTATACCCAGACTCTTTCATCCGGCTTCATCTTGGGAGCAGGAAGGTTCAGAGGTGAAAGACGGGGGGAAAAAAAGCGACGTACAAGAAACTTCAGCAGATAAAAAAAAAGGTAAAAAGTACTTAGACGCGAGGGATAATACGAGGGAAAAGGAAAGTGTCAAAATAGATGACACCGAGGAGAGAGAGTGGGGGGGCCAGTTCCATTCGCCGCCTTTGCATGATGGGTGATCCAGTTAGCGCCGCAGATTCATGCCGAAAAGCAATTTCCGGAGCCACTCGCGTGCGCGTACGTGTGCGTAAATTACGTATACGGGTGCGCTAAGCGCGTGAATTACAAAGCCTTCATTACGTCCATATTAACGCGCGTTATGGATTTTCATCGATAGGAGTGCACTCGGTCGGATTAAAAGAGCAAATGACTCATAGGCCGCGAATTTCGTGGCCAAAATCGCAAATTTCATTTCCATAGGGGCCAATTATCGGCGGCGCGTGTGCACGTGCCCAGGGTTATTCACGTGCCGTATAGCCAGGCGCCGTAATTCTCGTTTTCATCCAAATCGACCAGGCATCCAAATCGTCCGCTACAACGAAGAATCCTTTAATGCCTGCGATATCTCGCGCGGGAAATATCCCCTGTAGCCGCGATGTTACGAATTACGAGAGAGAGAGAGAGAGACAGCGCGCGAAGTAATTTATATTTTATTAATATTCAAAATTGCATTTCACTCAAATACGTTATTACTATAATACGGCTGCAATATTGATTGCAAATACAAATATTAATAATTGAAAAATGCAATGCGCGAGTAACGAAAAGAACTTTTAATTATAATAAAGTAATGATCGATTTTTAATATTGCAGAAATACCAATGGAGGAAATTTTAATTGGCAAAATTAACGGAAAGCGCTGAAGAGTCATTAGCAAACTAAGGAATTTTAATTCGTAATGATGTTGAATTATTGCAAAATTACAAAAGTCGAGATACTCGAGATACATTTTGTACGTTTAACATGCTTGGCCGTATAATAGCATTTTCAACCGACCCTCGTCAAAGGCGCAAACGTTTCGTGTGGCTCTTGAGAACATCGATCGTCGTTTATTGCTCTATAGAAGATGAAGGAATATAAGAGCGGAAGATTCTGTTGTAAATAAAGAAGGAATTATGAAGAAGAGAAAAGACTCACCGAGACCGCCCTTCATAGATCCTCTCCTCCTAGGACTGGATAACAAAGTGATCTCGGTGTCGGCGTCACCCATATCCGTCAGATCGCTGGTAGACCGTCGGGACATGTTCTTCTCGCTCCTGTGCTTCGAACGGTCGCTCGATCCCTCAAAATGACCCCGGCCGACCTCGTCCAGGCATCCTTGGCTCTTGTTCAAGTGCCCGACTGTCTTTGTGCTTCTTGACCTTTCGCCAATTCCCTCGCCGGTTTTCTCCTGCATACCGAGGGAACCCTCCAAAGAGGGGTTCTTGCTTGATGGGCTATCACTCTTGTATCCCGCGATCTCCCTGCCGGCGCTCATCTGATCGAGCTCCGAGTTTCGATTCGTTTGCGGACTGATCGCGTCGTGCGATGTCGGCGTTACGATCGTAGGCGACATAGGGCTGTTCAGGCTCGCCAGGCCGAAGGAGTTCCTCCGCCGATCGAAGAGCGGCTGCGGGCTCCTCGCGCCGTAACCGGACGACGAGTTGACCGATCTACTGCGATCGGTCATCGACGACGAGGTCCCCGACGCCGGATAGCTCGCGGCCTGCCTCAGGATCTTGCGCGGGTCGCAGAACTGGAAGATGGGCGACTTGCGGCCGGGCGAGTGCAGCACCTCGTTGGGCGACTTGGGACTCCGCGGCGGGATCGGCGTGACGCGGGAGTAGTAGCTGGGACTCCTGGAACCGCGCTGCTGCTCGTGCTCGTCGGCGCGCCCGAACTCGTTGAAGTCGAAGGTCGTGTTGGGTGTCTCCGGGTAATACTCGGGCGGGAACTCGAAGACCAACGGTGTGCCGGGCGACTTGCAGGCCAACGATTGGGCCTGCTGGGTTGGGCTCCGCTGCTCGGCAATCGGCATCTGCTGCTGGACGCGAGGAAGCGCCGGCAGCTGCCGCGGACTCCTCGGCGATTTCAGATGGATCGATTGTCCGGGGCTGTTGGTCGCCATCTCCACTGCGGAGTCTCTCTGACGAATTTACCCTCCCCTCGGATCGCGTTATCTCTGACGGTTCAATGTCCCGGACCGATTGTTTATCGGGAGAAGCCTCGCAGCTTCGACATTATCGCGTCACAGAAACGACCATCGTTGACTTTGAGGATACGCCTGTAAATCGTCCTGCAACCGACCACAGCCACTCTTCTCATTTCAACGGGTTTCACGACGATTTCGATTTCGCGTAAATAAGAGAAGTTACGGGACATATAATGTATGTTAGGCTTTAGTTATTGTCCAGTACGCGAATTTTCCCGACTGTCAAACATGAGAAGAAAACAGGATTTCGTTAAATTTGTATTAAAAGCTCGCATTAAAATTTAGTCAAAAAGTATAATCAAATTATAAAATTATCAAAACAAAAGTTTTATATGCATATGATATACATATGAAGCTCTGTAATTTATAACTTTTTGCATACATCAGAATTAAAATAAAACATAAAATGTCTATAGAGAGCTTTATACTGATTTGGCAAAGAGCATATATTATATGTATTTGGCAAAAAGTATATAAATACTTATTTGGCAAAGAACACACAGTTGGCAAGGATTCTCACAGAAACATTTAATCGATTTGCACTTCTCTAAAACTGCCGCTTTTCTTAGATTAATTACGAATGAACTCGAACGGAATTAATTAAACGAAAAGTCACTTTCTCTTATATTGAATCGATCGCTGATTAATTATGGAACGATGAGATGTGATGCTGTGATATAGCGCGTGACCTATAACCGCAGGGTTAAAACGCACCTATGTCAAGTTCACGAGATCGAGTGTTTGTGGAACGCGTACATCGATTCAAAATAGAATAGAAAAAAAAACATAAAGCACTTTGAATTATTACGCTCTTCCCTTTTCTCTCTCTCTCTCTCTCTTTCTCTCTGACTGACATCGCTACTCAAATTAAAACATATTTGTCAAATACAATATTCACAACGTGACGAAATAACAAGCTCGTTTCTAGAAAACAATAACGGAAAAATTAATTTGTCGAACAAATATTTAAAAATATTTCTCATTTCAGTCAAATTTTAATTATTTACTTGTTACAAAAAAATTATTAGAAAATTCTATCGCGAGAAAAAAAATTTGGATAAATAAAATATCGTATTCAATTTCATCGATAGCCATTTTTCAAACATCGCACATCACGAATTTCGCACATCGACGATATATTCACCTGGAAGCAGCCTACTGTTGCTATTCAAACTGATGATAGATGATATGACACGCGTGTCGACGACATAGAGTAAACAGATACGACGCACGAGTACACGAGATTATTGGCCGAAGCGTTACGCCAGTTAGCCAACTAGGGATTAACCTGTTGATCGTCGTTGTTATGAAGAGTGCCGTCACGTTGTCCAGCTACGCCGAGTCGTGGTACGACGATGTCGTACGATCGCCTAAAACGACTTTAGATGCGGAACGCGCATTTCGCTGATTAAGGAAAATTCTAATCCCTAACATAGAACAGGCTTAACGTACCCGACCGAATTTTGCGTCGTGAGAAGCGCGAAGCGTCGATGCCTCGTCGGTGCCACCTCGGCGATGGCCGGCGTGCTACTGAGGGGTTGCAATGTGGAAGCCACCCTCGCACCCTCTTCGCATCAGCCGCGCGCGGACCACCCCTCCCGCATCATCACGATCCTGGGGCTTTGTTGTTCTTTCCCGCACGTGCTCTTTCAATAATTCGCATCCACCAGACGTTAGAATTTTCATCGTATTCTACTACACTAGGCGTTGATAATTTTCAACGATCTTAGCGACTCTGAAACACCATATTTTTTATACAATATTTAGAAAATATTGCGAATTTTAGGTGATATTATTAATTTAACTTGTAATATCTTTTAAAATTGTGATCGAAAGTTTGAGCTATTTCGCACCTTCTTTTTTATTTGTTAGAAATATCTTTAAAAACGTTCTTTGTAACGTCTTTATGTTATAAGTTATATAATAAGTCAATAACTGTCTATTAAATTATATAAAACTATTTAGCTTTGTAATGATTTATGTAAAGACATTTCTCTCTCACTCTCTCTCTTAAAATTTTTTACAAAATAAATTTTGCTACTTACGCATGCTATTAAATATCGAAATAAAAAATTGAAAAATGCCAGTCTTCAAGCCCTTAACCCTTTTCCCAGAACAAAGTATTCCCTGTCGATAGTATCGGAACAATCTGTCAAACGAAATTGCGTTTGTGTTTACACCCAAGGAACCTATGAAGGCATTGCAGGCCTGATACAACAGTGTCCAACAGGTAGACGTTTCGGTATATGCACGTACACGTTGCGGAATCTAATATTTGCCTCTGATGTTGGTCCAAACCCGTTTACCTGGTATAGCTCGACCTTTAATCAGTAAGGCACTACAGTAAGGCACTTTAGAGGCTTCGCGTGGAGGAATTTGATTTGGCCTCCTCGTCAGTCTCAGTCTGTAAACTTGACACATCGACGATTAATACCATTTCGTAGATATAATATTCATATAATAATTTCTGGCAAAAGTTTCTGACTAAGGTGCTCTTAAATTGTAACGGATAAATAGTTGTATGTAAAAAAAAATGAAGCAAAAAAAAGGTAGATTATATATTATTTCGAGACTGACTTCTGACTTGTCATCATGTATTTTCAGTAGAACAAAAAAGTAAGATTATATCTCGCAGAAAGCAAGATTGTCTCCACAACAAATTATTTAAAAAATTATTATGTATTATTTAAAATAATTTATCACATAAATAAATGATAATATATTATGATTTCATTATTGTATTAAATCTCACTGATTTTGCATATTAAAAAAATAATATATAAAAATTTAATCAATTAAAAAAAGATTATTAGAAAGAATATTCTAATAATGTTGCTTTGATTCAATTTGTTGAAGAGAAAATTACTATTTATTTATTAAACAACTAAAATAAGTTGAGTTTAAAGCGTCATTTTTAAATTATTAAAAAATTACTAATATGTTGCTTAGATACTTGTCTTTTTCATCCGATTTCAAATATCATTCGAGCATACGTGAAGCTAGTAGTATCAAAGACCGCCAGATAGCAGACACATCCAGTGAAAGTATCACGCATTGATATTCGCAACTCAAGCAATAAACTTTTTCTGTTACAATCTGCAAATAGTTATAAAATAAAACTTACAATTTGTAAATATTTTCATTTGAAATAGTAGTTTTTGAGATAAAAGAATTTCTAAAGCTGTTTGTGACCACAATCACTATGTATCTTTAAATAGTTATATGGTATGTTCCATGAGTCGCGTGTGCGGTAGTATTAATGAAAGCATGACAGGTGACCTTTAAACTCTTAGATCTCAAAAACTACTGATTGAAATAAAAATTATATACACATAGCTAATTGTTTTACTTAATTTTTGGAGAACTTTCTTGCTATAGTATTTTGATTCGCAAATTTTGAAATACTCTATGTATATACACATGTTTATTAGCAAATTTTTAATGCAATTTTAAAAATCTACAAGACATTTATTTATGCCAATTAAGATAATCAAATGTCTTTTTAATATTTTATATAATATGCAAAAATCATGAAATTACACATTATATATACATATATATATTATACAAAACACATTACACGTAATGAAAAATAAAATTAATTAAAGTACTTTCCCTCGGTAATGAAATAGCAATATTCTGAAAATGTTTGATTGTTTGTGCTAAATATCGAACGCAATGAAAGCAATTTAATTCAATTTAGGTGATTCGTTTTCGCAAAAGAAGGTATGCATATAAATAAACTAATCATTTTGTGTTCTCTTGTAATTATTATTGAAATTAATAATCAATTGGCGATTGTTAAAACGAAAAGTTAATTATTTTTTATTTCCATGTTGGCAGAGAACAAATGGATTCTAAAGTCACTAAATAGTATAAATGACGTAAGACTTAAAATAATGAAGAAAAAAATACTTATATTATATTTCAAAGATTTTTATTTTTGTTCCTAATTGGCGCATAACGCTTCACAATAATTTTGCTATAGAAATGTAAAGAATTTACTATAAAGTACGTAGACATTCTTCGAGCTTTCTTTTGCTAGCTCTCTTGTTTTAGTCTCCGGCAGCCATCCGTAACTTGTTATAGGAAATTAAGGCTCGTTCCTATAGCAAATTAAGATGGTTCGATGTATGCCAGTGTGCAGTTTATTGTGGTTTGTATCACCTACGAGTTCAATCTGTGATACTCCATTCTTAAAAATAGATCAATAGAATTCTGTACAAAATTTCGTCCCTCATTCGTATATCTGCTTCATATATCTACAAATATGAGTTCAATAAAAATTGTACTATAGTTACATCAAAAGAGATATTTGGAAATGATACTTTAAAGAAGATGATATTAATTGATTACGTATCTTGAAGGCGATATAATTTGATTAACGTTTTCATAGTGGGGAACGCCGATATAAAATTACTTGATGTTTTCAAGTTCTCACATCGGTCAAGTATAGTCATTCTGTTACATGTCAACTCGATCGCTCAAGTGAGCAAAATCTCGGTTGGCACAAGTGCATTGCGACAGAAAGATGCCGTCGTTTAACATTTTTCGTATTGAGTTCGATAAACCGAACAGTGTTTACAAATCTGGCGAAATTGTTAGTGGTAACGTTATTATTGATTTGGCAAAAGAAAAATTAGCCGAAGGTAAATAATTTAATTAATCCTCTTAAAAATAAAATCAATCAAAACTATTGTAAAATTTATACGTGTAATTATGTTTCTCACACACACACACACATCCATCCACGTGCGGAATTACAATAAACTCATCTTGTATCTATACTTTTTTGTTGTTCTTTTATCCAGTTTCAAAAAACATAAAAATGTTTTAAATAAAGAGAAAGAGAGAGATTTGGAAAAAGGTACGTATTCAAAACGCGCGAATAACGATATTAGAGCGTTAACATGCTATAAAATTTAGCGTATAAAATTTTAGAGATAAATGCGTTCTGAATACGGATCACAGAGTTTTAAAAACCATCTGAAATTATATCTAACTTTGAATAGAGGTTTCGACATAAATGAAAATTTACAATTTCAAAATTATTACAATTGATATTTTATGCCTTAACAAATATAGAGTTTATTAATTCAGTGGATTTTTAATGATAATAATAAAAAGTTGATAATAAAATGTGTTGATGAAAATTTTATGGCTCACTGGATTGGATATTTTTTGATAACGCATTCAGAATCATTCTGATAATAATCTTTAAAATGTAGAATATCTTTTCCTGCAGTGTAATATACATATATGACTTTAATGATAAAATTATTATTATGTATTTTTTTCAATAATATACTCAATATATCAAAATTTCATGAACTCTCTACAATCCATGGTTTCACGATCATAAAATAATTTAAATGTAAGTAGATGTATGTGCTTGAACCAATATACAAAGCTTATTGTAATATAAACGATTGTAATATAAACAAAGTAGCAAGTAAATTATATTTATTTAAAGCTTCTGTTCACTCACCACTATCTCAAATTGTGATGTCAAAATAAAAATAAAAATAAAAATTCTTGTAAAGAAATTAAAATGTTTCAATAAAATAACACTTCCAATCGACGAGATTTGAGTTGTAAAATATATATCAAAAACTCTTCTTTTATTTTGTTAATTATCTATATATTTCAAAATAAATTATGCATAACCAAAAACAAAATAAGCTATGTATATATTCTAGCCATAGCTAAAACATTATATATATAATTTAACTTCTTTTCGAAACAAAAAGATAACTTTTGGTATATTTTATATCAAATTTATTCTGTCTATTCTATCAATTACAAAAGATTGTTTCATTGGAAAATATTTCTATTTGAATATACATATTTGCAAAAATTATATATAGATGCAAGAATTTTTATTGTGTATTTTTTTACTTCTGACATCACAATCTGAAATAATAGTGATAAAGAAAAAAAAACTTTAAATTATTCAAATTGCCATGTCTCCATAAAATTGTTTACATTTGTATTTAATTTTAATATATCAATTGACGCATGCATATATTTTTTGTAATATTATAGCACTACAGACGCGCACTTTGCGCGCTCTATTTAACTGCACTTTACTTTACTTTTTACTATTACTTACAATTACACATCAATCTCAATACATATAACTGTCAAAAGTCAATGCAATGACAGTCGCTCACAAAGTTAGCGCAGTGAGAGAACCAATATAAGCGTCGCGGAAAAGAGTCAACAATAATTTCGAGAATAACAATATATTTCGAGTTAACATACCTTTTTTTAGATAGGAGGAGAGGAGAGGAGAGAAAAAATGCATGATTTTCTTGATTCATTTTTACATAAAACTTTAAGATAATCATTAATCTGTCTTATTGTAGCACTAATATTAACGGCTAAAGGAGAAGCTAAGGTCAGCTGGGATGAGACATCGAGCACAACAGATAGTGACGGAAATTCTAGAAGTACCACTACTACTTATAGTAGAAACGAACATTATTTTAGTGTGGACATTTTGCTATTAGAAAACTATGACGGTAATATATCATCTATTAAAAGATTAAACATACATCGTGACTGAAAACTTTAGAATACATTATTGTACTTATGCTAATACTCTATTATATTTCTTTTCATAAATATTCTTTATTCATGTGTGCACCGTGAATTCGCGTGAAATGAATATGCTACGAATAATCGCAAATTAATCGTCGAGTGTAACAATGTAAATAAAAATAAATGATAATGGAAATTTTTAAGTTATACAAGTTAGACTAGAGTACCAAAAACATATTTGAATATAAAATGAGATACAATTTTTTATAATTCACAATTATATTAACTCTGAGTTATGTTTAGAGTTTTTATTTATTTCGGATGGAAAAGTGCATTTTCCTGTAGGATTACGTAAATATCCTTTTTGTATCCAACTACCTCGCAATATACCATGCAGTTTCAAAGATAGTATTGGTTATATTAGATATACGATGAAGGCGACCATTGTTGAATCATGGCGATTCAATCATGAATGTAAAGTTGCATTAACCGTCATTACGCCTTATGACTTTCGTCGTGATCAGTGTGTGAGTGAAAGCTGATACTCCAAATTTTTATTATTATTTCATTATCTTAACATTTAAAAATCAGTGTGTACGAGATATGTAATTATTTTATAATTACGTTACAGTCTCATCCAATATAATTGTATTAAAAATTAATGTTTTATATTAGAGCGGCATATCCGAAAAAATAAGTCTTCCTTCTCTTGGAATTTTCTCTTACTGCTGTCATCTCAGCTGTAGTACAGTAAATGCACATGTTAAAATACCAATGACAGGATTTCTCCCGGGACAATGGATCGAGGTATTCTTCAAGTTAAAGGATACTGCAGTCGTCGCTGCATTGGAGAAAATTTGTGTTAAATTACAGCAAGTAAGTTTGCAAATAATTAATGACACATGCCCAAGTAACAGTATGCAGTATTACCTTAGAAATAAAGATCAGAATGTAAGTCAACTTTAAGACAAAAATGACAAAAGCGTGGAAAACGAATACTTTGAAAGAAGCGTAGAGATAGAATATAAAAGATGAAAGCCTCTTTTACATTTTACTGATTCAACTTACACTTCCAAAAAGCTTTATTCTGTCATTCTCTTTTTTCTTTTAACTTACGCTCTTTATTATCGTCAAAAAAAAACTAACTCGATTGGCCAGAATATAAATTTAATTTTATCCTGCAATAATTATCTAATTTTAATTTTTGCTTACAAAGTCCCTCGAGTATCGCACGAATGTGTCGAGAAAATGCGTCCGAACAACTGTGGCATCTGTGTATAAACAAATGCAATTGGATAAAGTCACTGATTTTACGTTACGTATACTTATTCCATCGACACCACCTTCGGAACTGGAATTCTGCGATATAATTCATCTAAAATATATTCTGCGTATCGGATTTCACAGTTCCAAAACGTACGTGTGTATACACACACACACACACATATTTATATATTTATATATATATATATATATATATATATATATATAATATAAAGCAACTGTACTAAATTAGATATATTGTAATAATATGATAATATTTATGTGCTCGATAATCGTTCAAAAATACAACAATCTAACAACAGAATGCCTTTACGTTAATTCTTTCATTATGTATCCAAAGATTATCAAAGAGTATCCAATTTTAATTGGAACAATACCACTGCAGTATGTATCATCGGCTCCGGCAGCTTCAATTTCTTCACCTATATTTCAGTATACATCAAACAACAACGTGATTACAGAATCTAATATAATATGAGGTAAATTTTATTCAAATTCATTATCGATAATCGAATTTCTTGATAATAAAATACTCAATCGATTAATTTCACCGAATCTACATCTTTGTTATATAATAACATTTATTTTTCTTCTTAAATAATGTTCTAAATAATTTGTAAATATAAAAAATTTTTATATTTTATTTTATTAGAGATATTCTATTTTTAATAATTTATTACTTTATATATTATTTACTCTATTTTACTCTACTTTTTCATCATTTAAGAAAAAAATATTTCAAACAATAAAAACCTAACAAGATTCCCCAAATTAAAAATACGTAAGTAAGTAAGGCAGATAGGAATAAACGTGATTATTGATACGCACTAATTGATTTATATGAAATTTACGTTATTCAAAAGTCAACATTATAAAATCCAAAAGTTTGCATTCTCATTAAAAAAAATTAAGATTCTCCGTCCATTCAAATAGAACATACAAAAATATGAATTTTATTGGTACAAAGAGAAAATCGATTTCGCGCCGTCTAACTTACAAAGCACACTGGTCAGCACAGTACCATATGAGTATATGAAATTAATACTCAAAAGCCACCAGATAACGAATACACACAGCGAATTCAACAAGACATTTATTGATGCACAATATTGCAATCTTGTTTGCTAGAAATAATTCGTGTTACGCACACAGAAGAATTATCTTATTTGATAATCAACCGCTGAATACGAGCAATTGCAACAAAAAAACTATTGCGCAATTGCACAATTCGCAAAGGTGGTTTAATAAACTCATACAGAAATGTTCAACACACACGCGATGCAATTCCACATAGCTTCAATTGACTATTTAGTAGATCTGACAGATGAAGATAATATCATTTGAAAGTAGCGCATTCCTAACGATTCGAAGAAGAATAAAAATCTGTCGCTTGCAAGAGCAAAATACTTTCAACAGAAGCTGACGTACGTAATATCTACTCTTTATGAGCAAAAGTACCTTTCATGGTCATTAAAATAACAATGTATTTCTGCTCCTCATTATCTTAATAAAGTGCAATTATTCTCTCATACAGGAGTTCCTAAAGTGTGGATTACGATCCACTAGTGGATGGCGAAAAATTTTAGAATGTTAAATTACACTTTATTATCTTGCGTAATTTTCAAACTTTAAACGTGGTGCGTATCAAAACGCGTTCGAAATGCTCAAATTTAATAGATTAATAAAAATATATTTTATTTAAAAAGTTAAAAAAGAGGAGCAGTAAAATAATAAGTATAGTCAATTTCCACTCCCCCTTCCCCCTAACGCTTTTTCATATCTACTACAATTAAAAAGTTCGTAAACGGATTTCTTTTCTAAAAAGTGGGTCGCGATGATTCACAAAAAGAGAAGAAACCCTGCTCTGCTACATTCTCATACAAACATATACTCCCTACAACGAAGACCGAGAAGAAGAAGACTTCTCTCACTGCGAGACTGCCGTAAGGAATACGCAGGACACATATCCCGATGACGTTTACAGTGGGGTGCTGATACGAATCACCCGCCCACGACTCGACGCTTGTCGGCGTCGGCCTAGCCGCAACAGCGACAACATGTTCAGTCAGAATATGCGGTACCAACATCGCGAGAAGAGTCGCGGCCGACGAACGTTAACTATCGGATCAGTTACAGTGTCGTTTGCATCAAGTCGCATTCCTCACTTCGAATCGCGCATCGATCATCCGACGTCGATCTTATTCAGTAATACAACGAAATATCTTGGCAGACTCGCCAATGCCATCGCATGAAACCCTTTCGCATCAAATTCGACCTGCCGGACACTACTTACGCGCCCGGTGAGATCGTCACCGGCGACGTCATCGTCGAACTGGCCAAAGAGAAAACAATCCGAAGTAAATAAGCGTAAGGCACGTATGTACATACATATATGTTAGCAATTTTAAAAGCAATTTTAAGAATCTACAAATCATTTATGCCGGTTAAAACAATCAAATGTCTTTTTATTATTTTATTTAATATGCAAAAATCGTGAAATTACACATTACACGTAATCGATCAAATTAATTGAAATATTTTTCCTCGGTAAGAAAGTAGCAATATTTTGAAAACATCTATATTGTTTGTGCTAATTAATATTGAACGCAATGAAAGCAATTTAATTCAATTTAAGTGATTAATTTTTGCAAAAGAAGGTATGCATACAAATAAATTAATCATTTTCTGTCCTCTTATAATAATTATTATTGAAATTCATAATCACTTGGCGATTGTTAAACGAAAGACTAGTTATTTTCCACTTCCATGTTGGTAGAGAACGAATGCGTTCTAAAAGTCACTACTAAATAAACTGACGTGAGACTTAAAATAAAAGAAAAAATATTTATATGTTTCAAAGATTTTTATTTTTGTCCCTAATTGGTCGAATGATGTTTATCTACTATTATTTTGCTATATAGAAATATAAAGAATTTACTATATAAAAGTAGACATTCTCTGAACTCTCTCTTGCCCAGCTGTCTTGTTTTAGCCTGCGGCAGCAAGTCCGTAATTTGCTATAGGAAAGGCTCCTATAGCAAATTTAGATAGTACGATATACCTATATTATACTTCGACCAGTGCGTAGTTTCAGTGCGTAGTTTCTTGTGGTTCGTATCAGCTACGAGTTTCAATATGTGATACTCCATTCTTAAAAATAGACCAATAGGATTCTGTTTAAAATTTCGCCCCATATTCGTATATCTGCTTCATATATCTATAAATATGAGTTCGATCAAAATTGTACTAATTACGTCAAAAGAGATATGTGGAAGTGACACTTTAAAGAAGATAATATCAATTGATCATGTGTTTTGAAGGCGACATAATTTGCTTAACGTTTTCATAGTGGAGAACGCCAATATGAAACCACTTAATGTTTTCAAGTTCGCACACCGATCAAGTGTAGCCCATGTCGCATGTCTACTCGATCGCTCAGTGCGAGATCCCAGTTGTCACAAGTCCATTGCGACAGAAAGATGCCGTCGCTGAACAATTTTCATATTGAGTTCGATCAGCCGAGCAGCCATATTTACAAACCTGGCGAAATTGTTAGCGGTTACGTTATTATCGGTTTGGCAAAGGAAAAATTAGCCGAAGGTAAATAATTTAATTAATCTTCTAAAAAATAAAATCGATCGAAACTGTTGTAAAATTTGTACGTTTAACTATGCTTCATACACACATAAACACACACATCCACGTGCGGAATAAACTCATCTTGCATCTATCCTTTTTTTGTTGTTCTTTCATCCACTTTCAAAAAACATAGAAATGTTTTAAATAAAGAAAAAAGAGATTTAAAAAAAAATACGTATTCAAAATGCGCTAATAATGTTATTAAAACGCTAACACGCTATGATATACGTTACGTGCTATAAAATTTTAGAGATGAAAGTGTGTTCTGAATACGGATCACACAGAGTTTTAAATACCATCTAAAATTATATCTAACTTTGAGCAAAGGTTTCAAAGTAAATAAAAATTAACAATTTCAGAATGATTGCAAACGGTATTTTATGCCTTAATAAATGTAGAGTTTATTAATTCAGTGGATTTCTAATAATAATAATAAAAAATTGATAATAAACGTTCGTGAAAATTGTATGACTCACCGGATTGAATGTTTTGATAACACGTTCAGAATCATTCTGATAATAATCTTTAAAATGTAGAATATCTTTTTTTTGTATATATATATATATATATATATATATATATATATATATAAATATAATTTTTTTTCATATATATATATATATATATATAAATATATATAGTAGTGGTAAGGAAATAGAAGCTTTAAATTATTTAATTATTCAAATTGTCATGTTTCCATGCAATTATTTACATTCGAATTTAATTTTAATAAGTCAATTGTCATGCATATTTTTTTTTCAATAAATGCATGATTTTCTTGATTAATTTTACAAAATTTTTACAAAACTTTAAGATAATCGTTAATTTTTCTTATTGCAGCACTAAAATTAACGGCTAAAGGAGAAGCTAAGGTCAGCTGGGATGAGACATCGAGCACAACAGATAGTGACGGAAATTCTACCACTACTACTTATAGTGGAACTGAGCTTTATTTTAGTGTGAACATTTTGCTGTTAGAAAGCTCGGACGGTAATGTATCATTTATTAAAAGATTAAGCATACATTGTGAATGAAAATTTTAGAATATATTACTGTATGATATTACTTATGATAATACTCTATTATATATTTTTTTATAAATATTCTTTATTCATGTGTGCATCGTAAATTCGCGTGACATGAATGTGCTACAAATAATCGCAAATTAATCGTCGAGTGTAACAATGTAAACAAATATGATAATGAAAATTTTACACAAATTAGAATATTAAAACATATTTGAATGTAAAATGAGATAGTTTATTATACTTCATAGTGAGGGAATTATATTCACAGATTTTATTTATTTTAGATGGAAAAGTGCATCTTCCTGCAGGATTGAGTAGATATCCCTTTTGTATCCAATTACCTCACAACATACCATGCAATTTCGAAGATCGTGTTGGTCATGTTAGATATACGATCCACGCAATCATTGTTAGACCATGGCGATTCAATCATAAATGTAAAGTTGCATTAACCATAAATACGCCTTATGACTTAAACATTCGTCGGGAGCAGTGTGTGAGTGAAACCGATGTTCTAAATTTTTATCATCTTATTATCTTCACTTTTGAAAATCAGTATACGAGATAGTTATTTTATAACTAACTTACATTGAAATAATTGTATTAGACGTTACATTCAAATAATTATTAAAAATTTATAATATTTTATATTAGATCGGCATATCCGAAGAAATAAGTGAAACTTTCTCTTGCTGCTGCTGTCTCAGTAGTGATACAGTAAACGCACATATTAAAGTACCAATGACAGGATTCGTTCCGGGACAATGGCTCGAGGTATTCTTCGAATTAAAGGATACTGCAGTCATCGCTGCATTGCAGAAAATCTGCGTTAAATTACAAAAAGTAGGTTTGCATTTTATGACCCTTGTCCAAGTAACAGTATGCAGTATTACTTTGGCGAAAATAAAGATCGGAATGTAAGTTAAAGAAATATAAGAGAAGAATAAAGAATTATAAGAAAGAAACCTGAAAAACAAATAAACATTTTGAAAGAAGCATTTGAAAGAAGAGGAAGATAAAAGATGAGAGATTTTATAACATTTTACTGATTCATTTTACACTTCCTAAAAGTTTTATTCTGTCATTCCCTCTTTTCTCTGAACTTCGATCTTTATTTTCGCCAATAAAACCGAATCGATTGGCCAGAATATAAATTTTATTTATATACAATAATTGTCTAACTTTAATTTCTGCTTACAAAGGCCCTCGAATATCGCGCAAATGTGTCGAGAAAACGCGTTCGGACAACTGTGGCATCTGTGCATAAACAAATGCAATCGGATAAACTCACTGATTTTACGTTACGCATACTTGTTCCATCGACACCATCTTCGGAATTGGAATTCTGTAATATAATTAATCTAAAATATATTCTGCGTATCGGCTTTCACAGTTCAAAAACGTACGTGTATATACATATATTTATGTATTATATAAAGCAACTGTAATAAATTAGATATATTGTAATAATGTGATAATATTTGCGCTCGATAATCGACCAAAAATACAACAATATAACAATGGAATGACTTTACGTTAATTTTTTCATTAGGTATCCCAAGATCGTCAGAGAGTATCCAATTTTAATTGGAACAATACCACTGCAGTCTTTACTATTGACTCCTGCAATTTCGGCTTCTCCACCTATACTTCAGTATACATCAAACGAAGAAGTGACTGCAGAATCTAATATAGCATCAGGTAAACCTTATTTAAATGCATTATCGATAAATGAATTTCTTAATAATAAAATACTCAGTCGATTAAGTCCACTGTAACCAGTCTGTTACAGTCCACCGAATACATTTTTGTTACATAATAATATTTATTTTTCTTCTTAAATAATGTTCTAAATTCTAAATAATTTGTAAATATAAAAAATTTTTATATTTTATTATATTATATTCTATTTTTAGTAATTTATTACTTTGTATATTATGTACTCTATTTTATTCTACTTTTAATCATTTAAGAAAAAAAAAATTTTTTTACATATCCAAATAGAGTAGTAATCAGAAATTATCTCATACGGACATTATAAAATTTCATAATTTAATTATTTGTTTGCAAAAATTATTACAAGATTGTGATTCAAGTCTAAGAATTTATCAGGGTATAAATATATATTAGTATCTAATATATACATATATATATATGCGGATTCTTTTGTTTATTCTGTAAATTCTAGCTCCTCCATTGTATGAAGAATGCTACATGAAGCGTTAAGTATCAAAACTTTACAGGAATTTTTCTACTTATGGGCATGGTACAAATGAATCCTTTGCACCAAAATATCCAGTCTTCAAATTTGCACGTAAGACAATTATATTAAGTCAATTACACGATTTTTATCAGCTACAATAGTGTAAACTCGGTATATACGCCGCGCGAGGATTTACGTCAGAAAAAATAGAAGAAGTGAAACTAATTTTCTCGCAACCACTCTGTTACATGCCTTTATGTTATATTAGTATTGTGTTGTGATTTCAGTTTTTTACTGTTAATATTTACGAAATTATTGTAAGTTAAATCGATTTATCACTGTAATAAGTAGCGCAATCATAAGTAAGTTTTTAATAGGTGCGGCGTATATACCGGGTTTACCCTATATTATCAATATTTTACTTGCAGATCCGTCTAAAAAATAAATCATCTAACTTGACAATTACATCTCAAATTAAAAATGTCTCCTCTCATTATTAATATTTTCTATCTAATTTTAACTGTTGATTTGTAATAAAAAAAGAAACATTTTGAAAAATAAAAATTTTAAAAGTCTAAACAAGTTCACATAATTTTTAACGTAATTTTTGTACAAAATGTATTTTTGTGTATAAAAAGTGATACGAAATTAAACATATTATTGCATATAAATAAAATTGCAATTATTGCATATAAATAAAATTTATATTCTGGCCAATCGATTCAGTTTTTTTTTGGCGAAAATAAAGATCGAAGCGTAAGTTAAGAGAAAAGAGGGAATGACAGAATAAAGCTTTTAGGAAGTGTAAAATGAATCAGTAAAATGTTATAAAAGAGACTCTTATCTTTTATCTTCCTCTTCTTTCAAACGCTTCTTTCAAAATGTTTTTATGTTTGTTTGTTTTTCAGGTTTCTGTCTCATAATTCTATATTCTTCTCTTATATTTTTTTAACTTACATTTCGATCTTTATTTTCTTTCACATTGCGCACGATGTCCAAAAATTTGCATTCTCGTTAAAAAAAATTAAGATTCTCCGTCCGTTCAAACAAAACATACAAATATATGAATTTTATGGTTACAAGGAGAAAATCGATTTTGCGTCGTCTACCTTACAAAGCACCAGCACAGTATCATATGAGTATATAAAATTAGTAGTATCAAAAGCCACCAGATAGCGAATGCGTACAGCGAATTCAACAAGACACTTATTGGTGCACAATGTTGCAATCTTATCTTTTCGAGAGATAATTCGTATAACGCAAACGGAAGAATTATCTGATAATACATGGAATCGATTATCCTCCCCCCCTCTATCTTTATTTGATAATCAACCGCTAAAGAATTGTTGAATTGCAAGAACCATTACGGAGAAATTGCAGCACAATTCGCAATAGTGGTTTAATAAACTCGCATAGAAATATTCAACACACGCGACGCAGTTCCGCGCAGCATCGATTGACTATTTAGTAGGTGTGACGGATGAAGAAAATATCATTTAAAAGTAGGGCATTTCTAACAATTCGACGAAGAATAAAAATATGTCGCTTGCAGGAACAATACTTTTAACAGAAGCTGACGTAAAACTTTGTGAGTCATCTAGCTTTATCGTCCAATTATACTGTTTCAAAATAGTTGAAAATTGTCAATTCTATCTTGACAGCCCTCGAGGGCTGATAATCTTCACGCAATTATGACGTATAGAATGATGACGTAACGTCGTTGCACAACGTACGAACACACGACGATATCGGTTCTCCGTAATGCTCTGTTGTCATTTCAAAGAATTCCATTTTTATCTAGCTGTACAACGTCACACAAATCGCGTATACAAAGTAATTACATTCTGTACAATGACTCACGCTTTTTAATAATTTATGGAAAGTAATTTAATGTAGCTTACACGTGGGGACTATTACTGAATGACTCAAGTGCTTAGAAAAAGTTTCACGCTTCGTTCCTTAAGATTTAATAAATATATGTATATTCATGTTTGAACATCCATGTACTCTAAAAGTTGCATTAAAACCTATTACAATTTTTTGTGCAATAGATACAAAATGTACATTTTGTTTATCTCTCGTTCAATATATCATCCAAGTACAAGTTGCCATTCTTAAAATTAGTAAGAACATTGTCTTCTGTCAGATGTTTTTGCTATTCAAAGCAAAAGTACTTTCCACAATCGTTAAAATAATGCCACAATGTATATTTCTGTTCTCCATTATCTTAATAATGCAATTGTGGATTGCGAGCCAGTAATGGATCGCAAGCCGATGAGTCGCGAAAAATTTTAGAATGTGAAAAATTACATTTCATTACTTTTACGTAATTTTCAAACGTCAAACGCGATGCGTATCGAAACGCGCTCGGAATGCTCGGTTTAATAAATAAATAAAAATAAATAAAAATAATTTTTAATTTAAAAAATTAAAAAAAAAGAAGCAGTAAAATAAAATATAATATATAGTTAATTCCCACTCCCCCCCTCCTCCCTCGCTTTTTCATACCCATTAAATTAAAAAGGTCGTAAATAAATTTTTTTTTCTAAAAAGTCGGTCGCGATAATTCACAAAAGTATGGGAAACCCTGCTCTGCTACATTCTCGTACTGCCAATAACGAAAGACCAGGAAGAAGAAGACTCTCCCCACCGCCGGACTATCGTAAGGAATACAGCATGGCACGCACCCCGATGACGTTTACAGTGGGGTGCTGATACGAGCCACCCGCTCATGACTCGACGCCTGTCGGCGTCGGTCTAGCGACAACAGCGGCAACATGTTCAGTCAGAACACGCGGTAACGACGTCGCGAGAGGAGTCACGGCCAAGCGTCCCATCGGATCGGTTACAGTGCCGTTTGCCTCCAGTCGTATTCCCCACTTCGGATCGCGCGTCGACCGTCCAAGGTCGATTCTACTCGGTAATACAGCGAGATATCTCGGCAGACTCGCCAATGCCGTCGCTGAGGATCTTTCGCATCGAATTCGACCGGTCGAGCGCTACTTACGCGCCCGGTGAGATCGTCACCGGCGACGTCACCTTCGACCTGGCTAGGGAAAAGACAATCCGAGGTAAATAAGCGTACGTAAGGCACGTGGCTCGGTGGCTGGCAGACGCGGCACAAGGCAGTATCGAACGATCGCGCCGCGCCGTTGCGTCGGTGCCGTCGTCGCGGCGCCCACAGGAGCGTTCAGGCGCCAGTGAGCGCGTTCCCAGTGTGTGTATGTGCGTAAAAATGCGTCAGTATTGCGATACCAGGGCAGGATCGTGAAAAAGAAGAGACATGCTCTCAAAGAAATGTGCCATTTTAATCGCTCGTGATGAACAAATACTTGAATGAGTTTCTGGATAGAAAAAATCGAAGAAATCGACAAGATCGATCAAAGAGGATCAAAGAAGAAGAGAAGAAACGGATTTAAAAAGCTCAAAATTTTGCAGCTTAGTAAAAAAAAAAGGAAAAAAGGACAGAAATGAATCTAATTATTTTTGAACGAAAGCGCTAATCACGTCGCAATGAAAATTGATAAATAGAGAAGTTTCTGCATTATAATGGAGCGCAGTCATAATCAAATATCATTAATTAAATATCACTTTGTGGATTTTATGTGTTTTTATGTGGTATTTATAGTTTTCATGTCTTCGATATGCCACCAATATTTTTATTTTTATTTTTATAATAAAAAAAAGTAAGATGATTTTCTTTCGTTGGTTGCTAATTGTTCCTGTAGAAATCTATACACAGAGCTCTGTCAGCCATAAAACGCCCTTATCGCAGATGACATCATTCGACAACAAACACTGAAACCACATGGGCGAAACGTGACACATTAAACGCTCATGTTGAAAGCAACATTATGAGATCTTTCTTCTGCAAACGTCTAATCACTTTATAAAAATAAATTAATTAAATAAAACTTGCTTATTTAATGCTAATGCCGGATGCGAATGAAAGAAATGTCAATGTTGGAAGTATAGCTCAGTTATCGATTCGTGTTATCAAAAACGATGTCACGACAGTAAGCAAACAAAGATTCGCTGAAATTATCTTACTCTCGTGTGCAGCGTTTTATGAACAAGTCATGATTATCAAAACGCATAGTACATTATCTGATGGATAATATTGGACCATAATATATACCAAAACATATTTTCCAAAACTTCCTGTTATCGCTCGTATGTGTATACTTAAATAGCGCTCAAATTATAGAACATTATTCCTTATAAGAAACTCGAAAAGTCCTAAACCATTTTTCAATAATTAATTCTATTCCTCGTCGAAACTTTTTGTTTAAGAAAATGCTTCTAACGAAAGAAATATAATTTTTAATGCAACTTCTAGCATGTAATATTCAACATGAAGTATTTACGTGTCGTAATAATGCGAAAAACTTTCTTTTATATTAAAAATCATATTTCTTCCGTCAGAAGCATTTCCTTAAAGAAAATTTTGACAAGGACTAGAACTAATTATAAAAAAAATTATTTAAGACTTTTCGATAGTTTCTTACAAAAGAATAAAATATAATTAGTGGGTACTATTGTATTATATTTTGTAAAACAATTTATTATATTATACTATGTATGTATATAATAATTGCAGTTTAATTAATCATAAAATTTTATCAAATATTCTCACCTACAAGTTTTTAAGTGCTTTAATAATAATTGCAGTTTAATTAATCATAAAATTTTATCAAATATTCTCACCTACAAGTTTTTAAGTGCTTTAATTTCACTTGAACGTGTACTTTGCAATCTACGTTTTCACAGATGTAAACAGGCTAAAAATAAATTTATTTGGAAGATAATTTTCGCTTGGCTACCGTTATAGTAGATGGCCGAAAAGGACGTACCCAGAAATAGCAATATACGAAATCGTCCGCGTCGGTTCGAATGTTTTCGTAATTATTTTTATATCAGCTGTAACTTAAGCAACACGTTAATGCCACATGTCTACAAGTATTATTAATACATTTCAAATGACATTGAACTTTGTGAGAAGTATGTCATAATGCAGCATTGTGATTACTAATGCGCAAGTCTTTTCTGTATAATCTGTATACAAAATTAATAGAATTTTTTTTCGAAAAAAAAAATTTTTTTAAAAAGAATCTCCTCATTTCTGAAGAATTTCAAGAATTATTTAAATCTGTTCAAATTACTTTTTCAATTTAATTTAATTATTTTTAATAATCTTTATTTTAATAGAGATTGAATTAACTATTTTAAAAGAGAGAAATAATCAAAGATGATTACTGTAAAACAAAGCAAGAACTGAAAATTTCTTTCAATAATATTTATGAAAAAAATTAATAGAAATAAAGAAAAGAGATTTATTATTTTTAATATAATATATTTTACTAGAAAGCATAAAAACTAAAAATGCCGATATTTCTCTGCTCATAGCGCTGAAATTGTGAATTTCAAGAATTATTTAAATCTGTTCAAATTACTTTTTCAATTTAATTTAATTATTTTTAATAATCTTTATTTTAATAGAGATTGAATTAACTATTTTAAAAGAGAGAAATAATCAAAGATGATTACTGATCGGAAGAGCACACGTCT